GTTATATTCATCCTAAACCGAGCGAATAGTTTTGATAAAATTTTGCTTTCAAATTAGCCGTTCCCATAATACAAACAGCTACTATTCTACTAATTTGTTATACTTAATTGAAAATTTTGCAGTTTGGGGTTAAAATCACTATAAGTTTTCCCGAAAATCGCCAGTAAATTTCTTGCGTATTTCGTAAGTAAGCTCCAGTTACTGACAAAATTGGCTAATAATACTCAAATAATATATTTCATACAAAATGTGGGACATAGATGTCGTGTTACTCAAAACAGTTCTGTAAACTAAACACAAATTTTGAATCGCTTTCAAGAATTGAAAAGTATTTCAATTCTTGAACGCCTGAATTTTCTTCCCTTTATTAACGATCTATCAACAACGGACCATCCATTACTAAAGGATATCTTTAACCCTTTCTAGATATGGGGATTTCTGCGGGACTTCAACAAGCTATTGACTTCCGGGGAAGAAAATAATTGTACTTAGAAGTAAAATAGTTTCAATAAGATGCACTGTGGAAAAGAAACCTAAACAAAAACGAAAGACATACATGAACAATGTGACAACATAGAAAATAAAAAGGAAAATATAGATAAATAGTTAATTGCGTCATTTTAATAAAGGCTCAATTATTAGGCCCCTTGAAAAACGCTTTTTATTATTTTCCGGAGTACACAAATGAACATTGAAAATCAAAGTACTCCATCTTCCACTAAGTATATATCTGGTTTATATCTTTATTTTTTCTTTATAGCAGATATGGACTTTCCTCAGGTTTCTTTGAGGTGAAGTCCAGCCCAAATCCTTCAGTATTTTATTATTATAAAATGTGAGATTTTGCGTCAATGTAATACGAATAGAAGTCGCTCTACATTCAAAGCTATTAAGTAGGGTATTGCGGGACTTCAGTTAGTTTTTACCTATAAATTGCTCCTTAAGGGCATAATTAATGCTCTGGAAATTTTACATTAACCGCCTCTTTAGATTTTCACATTTTAAATGACTTTGAAGTGGCCTGCGCCATATTAAGGCCGCCTCAAAATATAATTTTCGGTGCTATTTGTCTGGCTATTCGGCCATTTACGCTAGGGAGCTGTTGAACTTTCAACTTGAGACACACGATTTAAAAATTGTAGTAGTAGGCTGAACTCCTAAAATTGTACGTTCTATATGTATGTGAAATTTTGGGCCTTTAAGGAACAAAACTGTCCGATACTTTCCAATTAAAAAACCTTAATATACGCAAAAAAGTTAATTTTGGTAGGAAAAAAACAACGATAGAAAGAACTACGAAAGGAAACATCAAACAAACCCGGGCGAAGAAATTACGAGCCATTTTCCAAAGTATTTTCCTTTGTTGCCTCAGATGACAACTTAGCATTACTTTTCATCTTTTCATAGCCCGACTGAATAAGCTTTTATTATTCGTAAAAGACTTTGGTCGACTTTGGTATTGCTCCGCTATAATGAAGTTTACGTTCATTAAGAAGTTCCAACGGTTAGAGCAACGCATCATGGATGCAAATTTAAATTATAATTGGCACCAAACTCAATTACATAACTTTGTGATTGGAAGAGATCTTTTGTCGATGCACTTACGAGGCATTCATTAGCATTTACAGTGCATGTATTGGATGGCTGGAATCAATTTGGGTCGGTTACAAAACCAACAGCACATTCATTACTTTATGAATAAAACTTTTCAATGCTGAAAGAATTTCCCTTTTTAATAGTAAAAACGCAAATATACTGAAAATGTAGTAAACAACCAGAATCTTATTATTGCTTTTGGTATATTTGCTTTGCCTACGTTTCGACGAGCAGGAATTATGTTTTGCTCTATAGGAAAACACGAGCCAGAGAATTTATGTTGTGTTAGCAAATAGCATCTTTTCAATTTCCGCCATGTATTTTGAGGTTTCTCCAAATAGGAAACGTTGACTGGATATTTTTCCATTCAGTGCTTTTACTATGAGCCATATTTTATTATTTAGTTTATATAATGTCCACCGCAAGTGCCACATTTAAATATTTTAGGATGTCACTAAAAAAAAGCAGTTTCTGACATGGTTTAAAATATTGCTTCAAAACAAGTTCTATAAAGTAATAAAACAATATTCAATTTGAACAATATCTAAAAGTGAAAATACACAGACAGATGCAATCAGAAGTGAGCACAGAAAAACAGTAATGAAGTAATAATTGTTCCTGATTACTGATGTCTTTGGAACAAAACTTACTGGAAAAACTTGCAGGAGTGTTTTTGATTCGCACCTCTAAACAAAGTTTGTCACATTAGGTACTTCTCATCAGTTAAATTCAGTTGCACCAATATAAGAAATGTTCTTTTTTCCTGTTAAGCTTCCAATATATACAACATATAGTATCACAATCAAAAATATATTTTAAACAAAGTTGTGCCTGTGTAAATTTATACAGGGTGGTGCCAAATTAGGTTAAATCAACTTATATTTTTCAAATGGAAACGTGAGCTGTTTATATCAATTTTGAATTCGGCTTTGAATTCTAAGCGTGATTCAGGTTACATATTGCTATACTTAAACTCGAGAGGTAGGTACTGAGATATTTACGTTTGCATCTATTAATAATTAATAGCGTTGATTTCTTTCAAATGTGTGTAGGTAGTCCTAAAAAGGACAGATTTATTTCAAGAAACAGAATATCAATCAAATTAGATGTCGAAAATATGAGCCACTTACGACTTGACAATATCTAAGGCAATCAGTACACGTTTCTTGAGGACTTTCAGCCATTTCCGGAGTACTCTTTCAAAATACTTTCGATTTGAGGAAACGGGCCAAAACGAAATCTATTGGAATTAGGTTTGACGATCGAGGCGGCCACTTAATAAGTCATCTGCTTCCTATCCACCGACTGGAAAAGGTTGCATCAAAGAATTAACGCACAATGACATAGTCTGCATGAGCACCATCTGCTGGAAAATCAGTTCTGCGTCAGAAGAGTCGGGGTCTAAAGGATTTGGAAATAAAGAGGCAATTGCAGGAACTAGTTCAAGTTGGAGAAATTTTAGATACACTTGTCCAGTTAGTCACTGTTCAAAGAAAAGTGGAACTAGTTTTCTTTCTTCGGTACTGTCGGTACAATATTGTACCGTGGATGGCCGAGTATTTAAACTCTTTCCTCAGCTTACAACTTTTATTCCACTCGGTACAACTTTAACTACGGAACAGGAATAAACTAACTTCTAAATTAATGTCAACTTCACAAACGATAACAGTAACACACGGAAAACACGGAGTTCCGACTCGCGGGTTTAACTTCTTCTGCACTCAGGCGCGGCTGTCACTTCACTCTCCCCCGTCTGGTTCTCGTCGTCCCTTATATCCTTTTCTCCAGGTATTCCAGATAGTTCTAGAAATCTCCAGAACAGGTGCGAAACTTCCCGCTTGTCAGTGTCATATTTGACAGTAAATGGGGCCCAAATGGGGCTCCCATT